GAGGTCAAGTCCCAGCAGGTCAAGGATCCTGCTGGTCGTGGCCGTCTTGGTGTTGACTGCATGGGCCGCGGCTCGAACAACATGAAGGAGGCCTTCGTTATCGATCCTCTTATCGGCAAGAGGCAGCAGCTTATGCTTGCGACGCAGCTCTGCAGAATGATCCTCAAGATCAACAACGTCATTGTGTCTGGGTCGGGCGAGGATGATTACTAAGCGATGAGCGAAGGAGGGAGGGAGATGTGATATGTGGGTGTTGACATTAACCGAGTCAAAAAGAAGGGTCGGAATGCCAAGAAAGATCTTGTAGGAATATCACGGTTGTAATGGCCGCTTGGTTCAGACCATGCAACGCATATAGAGAAGTACTTGTAGATACCAAAACAAGACGTGCGAAGACAAAGTATCGAGCCCAAGAAGAATAAGTTCTCTCAATATTGTGACGGGTTAACCGGGGGTTTGGAGCGCGCCGAGCGTCCCGAGGTGAGAACCGAACTGGAGATGCAAAAGCTGGAGAATGATCAGAAGTTGGTTGAGGGTAGTGATGGGTGACCTCGCAGATGTTTGAAACCATATAAACTCACTCACGACACTATTCTACCACATACGACCATAGATGGTAGAAAACTCGGGATCCCGTCCGCTCTCCCATAGATAAGCTACCAATCGCCTGACTAGTAGTTGGGTCGGTGACGACCAGCGAATCCCAGGTGTTGTATGTTTTTTGCCTTTTATTTTCCTTTTGCTCGTTTTATCCTTCTTCTCCTTCTTCTCCTGTTCTTTTGATAGTATGGTTCTTGGCCTTTGTTTCTCTTGACCCCCGTTCCACTGCTGTTTCTCTCCTCTTTTTCCCCCGTCTTTTCTATGTTCGTCGGATGTCTTCTAGGCAAGTGGATCCGCTAAATGCGTTCCTTTTTTCCCACATTTTCTCTTTCAGTTTCCCAATTGCCATGGAGCTTTGTGTACCTTATCCTTCCTACAGTACCTTATTATGGTTGGGCTCTCCGTCCCTCTTGCTTGTTTAATGCCGAATTTTTGCTAACGCCATCCATATTTTGGATGCCGGCAGGCAACTGCTATCGACTTGATCGTCCAAACGGAAGTTGACACCCTGGGCCATGTGAGAGTCACTTTCTTTCTTCTAGGGTGCATCGCTCTCGCCGCCGTAGTGGTTAAGAACCTGCAAGAACGGTTGTTGGGAGGCCCTTTTGAGATCCAATGCAGAGACTGAAGAGAGGGAGAAGAGTCGTTGAGTGGTAGCTACTTTAGTAGTTCATGCTCTTGCGTTCAGCCGGTTTATAATGGACGTCTGATGCTCCTGTTTTTGATCATGTCGAGAGGGAGATATCACAACTGGTATTTGAAGCTGCGTAGGCGGCCGAGTGCTCTGGCTCGTTTGGGTCTGGAAGTTGACGGATCAAACTTGGACAGTCCGAGACACTTGTTTGTGTTGGAACCAGAAACTCCCTCAATTTCTCAATAGATTGCCATCTTCATCTGCTCTACATTCAAATTTCAATCATCGTTCCTGGTGTGCTATATGACAATGATGGTGTGCTTTCCGTCCTTGAATTCGGCGCAGGGCAAAGTTGGCTTGCCTGGCTCCCGTTTGATGGACAACACCTCTTCTTTCTGCGCCACGGCGAGGATGTTAGCTATCCCAATTCGCTCAAAAACACCTCGTTGCTCGTCAACTATCTTGAAGAGTAGCAACGCCGAACTCCAACCTGTGGTTCCAGCGTGTCCAATCATGAAATAAACTCGGCCTTCGACTTCTTCGTAGTCAACGATGTCACCTGGGATATCGAAGAGCGCGACGGGTGAGACTCGATTATCGCGTGTAAGAGTAGCCGCAATCGTCTCCCCCTCCAAGTATAAATCAAAGGCCGACTCATGCACCCTTGACTTGACGAGCTTGGTCTCCAAAAGAACTCCGCGCAAACGTAACCAGCCGTCCGTTATCCCACCCGTCTTGTCGGACGTCGCGTAGGTGAGATGTACATCCTCAGCTTCGATCTGACAGCCATCTTGAGGCCATTCTGGCGGCAAAATGATGGCATCAAGGGATGCCCAGGACCAGGTAGGAGTTCGGTATGCGCCTGGCCTTGATCCGGTACTATCCGGATGTCTTCTCCAAAGTAACTGAGCCTCGAGATTGGTACGCCACATGCCAGCTACGTAGGTATCTTGTAGCAAAGATTGGAATCTTTTTGCAACCCCCGAACAGGCAATGAGTTTATCTTCAGGCCGAGAAAGGTCGCGGCATGAGTAGTCGAAAATAATCCGGCTCCATAAGAGCTGCGCGAGTGGCAGTGTCGAAGTATCAAGATAACCCCGTTGACCGTTCTGTTCCACTTCAAGAGCGAAGGATTTAAAACGCACATCTTCAGACGCCGAAAGTTCCGGATGAAGCCCGTGAGGAAACACTTCTGACGCGTTCTTCTCACAGCACTCCCACATTAACTGACGCCCTCCGAAATGCAGAACTCGAGGGGCTAGGATGCGTTCTTGGAGGACCCAGGCACGGGTGTTTACCAATGCGTTGCTGACCTCGTTGAGCCAAAATTGACAGTTATACGCGTAAAATTGGACTGGAGTCACCACATCACTCTCATCGTTGACAAGATCCAGTGTGAGTGTTTCCGGATTGACTGATTGAGGATCTCGGACGTTGAAAAGCGACCGCGAACAGTTTTCGGCGTCTGCTGCGGATATGTTGCAATAAGAGTGTGAGTACACTTTTTCCATGAGAGATGCTTCATTCTCCCAGTCGGATTTGTCGTCCTTGTCTTGCATTATACAGAGCGAATCGATCCAAAGATACCGCACTCCAAGTGTGCGCACCACTGAGATGACATCCTGGAATAACCGGGGCAATGAATCCAAGGAGATCCCCTTGATCAGCAGAGGGTGTTTCTGTTTGTTCAACACATACTCCTCGTCAACACGTCCCCAACGGTGAGTAACTGTGACATACGGGCCGGCCGGCTTCGTGTCTTTAGTCTCGATGAGCCGGACATCTGTCGGTTCGCTTAGGTCTAAAGGCCAGTTCGTTTCCGCTGTAAGAAGTTAACCAGTTAAGATTTTTGCAGTATTCGGGTCGCAGTAACGGTATAACGCATTACTGCTCTACTGCTCCTTTTTGCGTTCGTTAAAAAAACCTTATTTTTCATGCACGCCCTGCAACCACCTGCAACTACCTGCACTTACCCCAAATCTTCGATTTGACCAATTAGAAGGCCAGAATCTTCGAAATCCTTAACAGCAGTTCTTACTGCCAGACTGCTCGATTTTAAACAGTAGTGCGTTAAGAACTACGGTTAAGCACAACTATAAGGTTCAACCCCCTATAAATATAGGGGATTGCCGTTGTAAGAGAAGGATGGTGACAATGAGAAGGATAGTAACGATGAAAAGGATGGCGACGATAAGAAGGATGGTGATAATAAGGAGGATGGCGACGATAAGGATGGTGGTGATGATGAAAAGGATGAAAGAGAAAGAAAGAAGAAAGGTGGAAAAGGAGGAGAGCCCCCGATTCCAATGTTAAGCACCTCTTTCCATCTTGCAGCCAAAGTCTTGGCCTACCTTAACGCTGCCTTAATGTTGCAGGATTGCAGCTGCAGACCATGCGCGTTAAGAGGGCAGTTAAGGGAAAACCACTACTGCGGAAACGAACTGGCCTTAAGAGTCTTGTGGGATACCAGCTAGTATCGCACTTAGGAGGTCTGCACTGCGTATGGTTTACCACACAGTCACTGACCCATTCTTTTAACAATAACTGGGCTTGCAGAGAATCTGTGCTTCTCTCATACGTAGGAACGGCATAGGTTTTCCCTTGCATAATGGATATTAGCATCGTTGCAGCAAAGAGTAGATCGAACGCCAGCCTGTATACAGTCCAACGCTCTCCACGAATGTAAAGAAACTCTGCTTCTGTTTACCTTCGCTGAATTCTAACACATGTTGCCATTCGCGAAATTGATCCTCCCAACCAAACATAGGATGAGCATCGCTAGTCTGGGCCTTTGAGAGAAACCTGAAGCTGAACGTAAAACACTCATAGTCTTGGTGTTTCCGATAGTTCATAAGTAGCTGAGTTGCCGCGTTTCCGTAAGAATTGGACACCTCTCCAGTCTCAATTTGCCGCCAGAGAACTTCAACGGGCCTCATTTCTACGCCCAACCAAAACCTTATAAATGAACAAATATGGCAGCCCTGGTCGACCGAATCCATGAAACTGTTGAGTGTCTTGTGGTGGTCCTTAATGGTGTACCATTCATCAGGCGGGTCATTCAAGGTTACTCGGACAAAGTGTCGTTCATCCTGATTCTTCGCAAGCCGAAAATGGCTGATGGCAGCTTGCAGTGTCGTCTGGCACACGGAGCAGATCATTTTCGTCGTGGTGCTTCGAGAGCCCTTTGAGAAGCAAGGGTCGCCGAAGGGAAAGTCGCCAGAGTTCGTGATATGGTCGAGTTCGCGCTGGCAAGGTCGGGGAACGTGATGGGAAGGGGGATGTGGAGGAAGAAGAGAGGGAGAAATTGAAAGCCCAGCCGGGGAAGATTATCTGACAGGCAGCAAGGCGTCCTGCTCTTTCCCCGTGAACACGGGAAAGCACCAGGCTCTCCAATCAGCAGGAGCCACACACAACTCCCTCAACTCAGCCTCCACTGCCCGCTTCTGCCTATGCTGTCTTCACTATCACCATCCCCCGCATCAGCTGCGCCTTCCCAGTTCAGTAAAAAACACCAATCAATGGTATTAGATCGCGATTCCCCGCCATATCAACACCATCAACACCAAAGGTCACAACCAATACGCAACAACACAACAAATTACTCAAAAGAAACAAGCATGATGAGAAGAAAAGGGACTGCCACAAAGGAACAGAGCAAGGGGTGAAAAACAGAGGAAAAAGAAAGAATAGAAAAGAACAGAAACGCAAAACATTTTCAAAGCGTCCACCACCACAAAAAGAAAGCTCTTTTTTTTTAACAAAAAAGTGGGATTGCCAGGAATCGAACCTGGGTCCTCTCGGATCGCTGTGTTCGTCCACAATGGAAACTGAAACCACAACGAGAAGTACTGACCACTATACTACAATCCCGCGGAATTTGTTGACAAGGTATTCAAATGTTGCACCTATATATTCTACCTGCATGCCACGTCCCATCAAGCCCTTCCCATCCCCTTGCCTCCCCTCCCGTCTCGTTCCTGTGCCGTCGCTGCACTTTTCGCATCTTTTTTACTCAATGCAATGCTGCACCAAACATGTTGCTTCACGGCATCAGGACGCGACTTGGCTTCTCTCAAGAAGACGGAGGAAATATTTTGATTTTTGTTTTATTTTAGAAAACCCGGAGAACAGGACCAGAGAAAAGCCACAGGAGGTGAATTAAAGGAAATAAAACCAGAAAAAAACACGATGCCATCTACCTCAGTGGTTAGTTAGACAACATGTTAACGAATCCCATTTCAATTTTCATTCCTAGACCCGATGCGATCAACAATTTCAATTCAACGGCAATGGATGAATGAATGAGTGAATTCCCTGGTTCGCAACCTAGAACTAAGCTCGTGATATGACATGAGAGATTGGAGAGCATCGATTCACACCGAAATCCTCACCCATTTGACACCCATCCATGCATCCATCCATCTACCCACCGCTGCGTCTCTCTGATCATCTAATGTGGATTTCTAGAGACTTCGAAAGAAGCAACAAAAGTATACGGTGATGTGTCCAGGTATTTTGGTTTCTTGACTCTCTCAAATAGCGACACCTACTACGTAGCAAGAGCAACAGTAGCAGCAACAGCAACGTAACACCAATGGAGCTCCAGAGGCTTTCACACAACATGCGATGGTCAACAGAACACCACCGTCTTAGCCGCTGCTTGCTGCCCTGTTCGGCTTAACCTCCCGTCACCACCACCAAAAAACACGGGTGGACCGTTGAACTGCTCAGGTTATGTATAGTATAGTATATATGCAGAATGTAAGCCAGCTCTTCCCTTTTCGGTGTCCCCGTCAATGATCTGGGATATCTATACATCGTCTTTTGTTTTCCGACCCCCTTTCCCGATGACAAACTACACTACTACCTTAATCCCTTTATTCAAATACAATCATCCCCGCCTGCTATACATCAAGCATACTTCTCTTCGGCGGCTCCAGTTGTGTCTGCCCACCATCACCATCTACCACAGCAGTTTTCTTCTCCTCCTGCTCCTGCTCCTTCTGCTTATCCTCCTTCTCCTTCTGTTCCTTCTGTTCCCGCCTTTGCTCCCGCTCCCGGTGCTCCTTCTGGTGGTATATCTGCTGTTCCTGGCCCATGTGTCCCATGCCCTTCCTGCCAAACCAGCCACCTCTCTCCCACTGGCCGGGCACATACAGCGCGTCAATTCTGACTTTATCGTCCGTGATGCCCTGTAACAAAGTCTCGAGGCGTTTGAAATCAATGGGCTTGAGGATCCAGCCATCGAAGCCGGCTTCGACATAGGTATCCTTTTCGTGCTCGACCAAGGAGGCCGAGACGGCGAAGATGGGCACGCGGCCGTGGTCCGAGGCGATGGCGGACAGCTGCTGGCCGTTGCCGTGCCGGGTAGATTTCTCAAAGGCGCGAATCATCTTGGTACTAGTAAGTCCGTCGACGATTGGCATCTGAATGACAAAGGATTTAGTATTAGCGGTGGACGAAGACCAAGAAAAAAGGGGGGGGGGTGAACATACCTGCATATCCATCAAAACCACGTCAAACACCATGGGCCTGTCTCCATACACTGCTGCGCAATCCTCGCCGTTCAGGGCGTGAGTGACTTTGTACCCAGCCTTCTCGAGTCTCTTGCGCAGCACCTTGACGTTGATGGGGTCATCTTCGGCAACCAGAACTTGCAGCTTGCTGTTTGCTGCCGAGGCTTCTTTGGCGGGCTGCGGGGGTTGCGCAGGCGTGGACGTGACGGGCGCAGGTGGTTGTGATGGCACAGACCGTGGTGGTTCCTTGACCGCAGAACGTGGTGCTGTCTTCGCCTTCTTACCCGCAACAGCATCCTTGATTTCGAAGAGCACCTTTGACGTGCTCGGCGGCGGAACCACGGGCTTGTCAAACATTTCGTCCGGCAGCTTCACCGGCTTGATGGGAACCCTGCTGTCAGTCACATACTGCAGCCCTTGTGATGCTGCTGGTGGCTCAGAATGCTCTGCAACTTCTGTCGTGGGTTTCTGGCTTCGAGGCGTAACCTTCTTAGTGTTCGGCGACGAGACCGACCGTGCAGGAGCATCTGGCCGCTTCCGGCTCCCTGGGCTGACGGACCGCCCCTTAGAGGGTCCGAGATGACTGGAAGCTGGGCCGTGATAGGGACCGCGTGAACCCCTCCTTTGTCGAGACACGCTTTCTGACTCGGGCTCGCCTAGTGTGAGAGGGTTTTGAATGGCGCCAATAAGCCTGTCCGCATCGCTAAGCTGGCTTCGTACGCTACCTTTGCTGGCAATGCTCTGGCTGTCGTCATAGCTCTTCCTGGACGCTAGCGAACTATTCGCGTTGTTGACAGACGATGAGCTGCCGTTGTTGCTGCGGTCAACCAGCATCACTTCGCCGTCTTGCATCTGGGTTGACATGGACGCCGCGGAAACCGAGGCATTACTAGATCCGATGGATGGTTGTGCGGCATGACCACTGTTTGCGGCCGCAGCGTCTCGGGCTTTTTCCTCCTCGGGAAGGTCAAAGGGCAATTGGATCACGAATCTGGATCCCTTGCCAACCTCAGACTTTAGCCGGAGTTGCCCATCCATAGCTCGCAGAATTCTGGCGACAACTGCAAGACCGAGGCCGAGCGTTTTACCGCTTTGCGACTTGTCATCGCCGTGCTCGTCGGATGATTCGAATTCAAGGTCCGTGTCGACTTGTTCCAGCTCTCTGAACAACGCATCAAGCTGTGCGTTGGTCATGCCCTTGCCTGAGTCCTGAACCACAATCTCGATGCGGACCCGGTTATCATGTAGTTCCGCCACATACAGTTCAATCTTGACAAACCCTTCAGACGTGTGCTTGACAGCGTTTGCTGTGATGTTGGCGACCGCCTGTCGGATTCGCCTCTGGTCTCCGGATACGAGGCGAGGGAGCCCGGGGTACTCAATGACCTCGTACGTAATGCCCTTCCGCTTTGCATCATGCCTGAAAGGCTCCGTAGCTTCACGCATACACGCAAGCAGATCGAATACCTCGTCCTTGATAATATCCTTTCCTTCTTCTGTCTTGGTTAGATCGAGCAAATCGTTGATAACGTATATCAAGGACTTTGAGGCTGAATGCGACCTTGCAAGATTGTCCCTGGTCTCCTGGTCGATGGAACCTTCAAGTGCAATTTCCAGGTAGTTGATTATAGCGTTAAGCGGCGTGCGCACTTCGTGCGCCGAGTTTGCGAGTAATAGTCGAGTGAGGCGGCTGCTCTGCAGGGCTGCCTCCTTTTGCCTCCAAACCTCGATGAACTTTCCGTACACCAAGCAAAGCACTGCCGCGGTTTCGACCTGCTCCTCTGACCATTCGCGAGACTTGCCGATAACAGTCTCGTACCAGACCCTGAAGCTCTTTCTGGGCTCCAGGTACGCGGTGGAACCAGCTTGGATGTTCTTTTCGTGTGGGTTGCCCGCCCATTTTACTTCCCTGACTTGACCCTTGCGGAAGAAGACGATGAAATCGCTCCCACCGACGCTCAAAGGCACATACAACAGACCGGCGATAACTTGAAACCCCGGTGGGTAGCGAAGGTCGGGGAAGTCGATCTTGACATCCTGCGAGGTGACCACGGATGAGAACCTGCGCACCCGCAGATACTCTAGCATAGCTAGTGCCTCCTGCGACTGCTCAATCTTTCCCAGAATCTTGGTCTCCTCGCGTATGGAAAGCATTCCGAAGTCGGCATCGAACAGTTTGAGCAAGTCATCCGAGGAAGCTATTATATAGCCCGACGGGTTCTTGTCGGTGGGCACCGTGTTGATGAGCTTGCGGGCTTGGAGACGAGAAGCATACGACAAACGCTCTATGTTTCTTGAGACGGTGTCACCAACAAGCCGGCACATTTTTCGTATGGGAAACGAGACTCTCATCCCCTTGGGCCCGTAGGAATGGCACGCAATCAGACCCCAAAGATCGCCAAAGGCGTTGATCGAGATGGATATGGAAGAGCGCACTGCCATGTTAGCAAGATACTTCAGGTGGATTGGCGACATTGCACGAAGGTAAGAGTGCGTCATGTCCAACGGGGTCTCCAAATCTTCGGCCGTTCGGCAAACGATCCTCGCGCTCTCGACGTCCCGATCGTACAGTAACCGTACCTTGTTGAGCTTGTAGAGCTCGCGTGCCTGTTTGGGGATGTCTGTAACCGGGAAGTGTAGTCCCTTGTACAGGTCCCTTGTTTGCATCGGGTCAACAAGCTCAGTGACGACCTTGCCGTTAAACGAGGAGTCAAACTGGTAGATCATGACCCGGTGGAAGCCCGTCAACTCCTTGATAATGCCGACCAAGATCTTGAGTAACCTTTCCAGGTTGGGAGCGTTTGCCAACTGCTCCTGTACTTGGCTCATTATATCAAACACTCGCAATGCTCCTGCCTCGCCTTTCCGCCTGCGCGCACTGCGCAAGACTCGTAGTGGCTTGCTCAAAATCTCGGTGCTTTCGGTGAGCTCTTCTGTGGTAGGATTCGACTGTAGGGTATCTTCGGGTGTGTCGGGGTAATCCTCCTCAGGAGGTCGCAGAGGGTAATCGTGGTCGTCGTCGAGTTCAAACTCGCAGATAGTCAGTTCCGGGCGTGACGGATGTACATGCATTGCGCACCATAGCTTGACGGAACCTTTGGCCTTGGGAAGTCGGATGGAGAGACTGAACACCTCGGGGCCGTTGACGGCCGGATCCGAATCCTCATCTCTAATGAAATCGACATGATCCAGCAGGTTCTCAGCCTGTTCATCAGTGAAGATGTCGAGGAAGTTGTTCATTCGGAAGAGCTCTTGTGGGGTGTAGTCGATAATTCTTTTCGAGTTCTCGCTCACAAATCGCACAATGAAGCGGCCGTCTTGTTCTTCCTGGATAACCACCATTGATCCGAAGCC